ATCCAGAAGCTGCCCATCAGCCGAGTACACCTGTACACCGTCGTCCAGGTCATCTGTCTTGGCATTTTGTATGGGTTGAAGGCAATTAAGGAGACGTCGGTGGTGTTCCCTTTCTTCATGGCGTCCCTTGCCATCATCCGCAAGGCCATGAGGTTCATGTTCACGGAGGATGAACTGAAGCAGCTGGACGGCCTTCCAGGTGAGGACGAGGAGGAGGATGCCGCGATGTCGAAGCCGGACATCGTGAATCTGGATGCGAAAGATGCCGCCTAGGGTAGTTGAGCAAGGATGTGCAGTGTGTTGTAGATTCAATTAGCGTAGATAGGGAGGCCACTCAGCCGGACCTTTTGCAAAATTCATGTTCAGTTTTGGTTCTTCGGAACTCGTCAGCGAAGCCCTTCTTTGAAGGCCTTTCCTGGCAAACCTGCTCCAGCACGGTTGGCACGACCCTCTGGGTGGGAACTTAGGGGTGATTAGGCGTGTCTTCTGGGTCTTCAGCCTGCGTGCTGGATCTTTTATGTCAAAACGGTTTGGCCCATCTCCGGCCAAGCAACGCTCATCATGTGCTGAGAGGCCGATCGCTGAAGGCGAGCGAACCTCCTGCACAAGCCCTTTGTACAAGCAATTGCGTTGCCAAACCAGCTCACTCCGAACGTCGAGGCGTAGAAAATTGGCTGTCTTCTTGTTTGCTTGCAAGCAGGGTCGAGGGTTTTGGGGGTTTAGCGTGATACCAAGCATGCGTCTGGACATGGGTTGAGGGTTTAGGGTTTAGGCTCAAGCCCCGAAGTCCTATATCCCCAAACCCCTGACTTTGTAAACCCCCAAACCCCAAAACCTTTTTAAGCGCTGAGCCCTTGACCCGACTCACGCCAAGGAGCCAGCGGCTTCAAGCGGTTCGGATGCCCCAGACTCCGGTCAGGAGGACCGGCCGATGCAATGAATCAAATACGCTGTGTCTGTCTGTCCGTCGAGTCGGTCTGCCTGGCTGCTTGGCTGGCTGGCTGGCTGTCTGTCTGTCTGTCTGTCTGTCTGTCTGGCTGGCTTTGCATACACATGTATATCGGTACTTTACTTATGTATCTATTTTATATGTGCATATAAATAGATATACGTATATATATATATATGTATATATATATATATGTACATACACATACGTATGTAAGAGAAGGAAGCGCCTGCAGATACCCCGACTGTGCCGAGCGCCTGCGTGCACTCCGAAGCCGAAGAAGACCCAGGGGCCCAGGGTAGAAATCCTGCATTGCCTATAATTAATAAGGAATATACCATAATTCCCATAATTGATAAGGAATATACCATAATTCCCATAATTGATAAGGAATATACCATAATTCCCAGAGTTTAGGGTCTTTAAGGTAATGCAGGGTTTATATCAAACCTTAATCCTACCGAAAAAGGCGTTCAAAGCATAAGCGCAACCCGACGGTTCGAGGGTTTAGGGGAAGTTGGGGTCAAGTGCAGTGCAGACTGGACAGGAGCAAGCAGGTGCTGCACCAGCAGACTCCGACGAGCCGAACCTGCAGGAGCGCACGGAAGGAAGGAATATGCCTTGCATTATGAAGAGCTGAAGCTTGTGATTGAAGACATACTCCTCAGTTGAGTAGTACCGGTATTAGGCTCTCTGCGGTGTTCCGGTCGATGGTTCACATTGCTTCAAAGGACCCCACGCACGCAGATCCAGCTTCCTGCGGCGAGCAGGATGCGCAGGCGGGCACTGACACCGAAGAAAGACATACATGGATTAGCATGGCTGTGGTCATGGGAGACACGTACCAATGCTTCACATCCACAGGAGCAAGAGCACGCCGATGTTCCCGACTCTGGTGAGCAGGACTCGCTGGAAGTTTGCAAGACCGTAGACATCGGAGCCACGTCCCTACGTAAGAGCAGCAAGCAGATGCAGCAGACTCCTGTGATGGGACGTGCGAAGATCTGCATGAGGTTTGTCAGTGGGTGGTTGTTGCACAGGGCCGATTGCCCAGGAGCAAGCAGATGTGGATCCACCAGCAGATGGCCTCGAGGACTTGCTGGTGCATGTAGAAAAGCTAGGTGCCCAATGTAATAGTAATACTAGTGATACTAGTGACATCAACAATAGTCATAATAACAACGGTAATGACAACCGTCGTGATAATAATGCTGCCTCCATCGTTGGGCATCGTCGGATGCGATTGACAGGAGAAGTAGACCCACAAGAACTGGTTCGGCGAACTTCGAGTCCGTGACGCGGGAGTCTCCAAGCAAGTGAGCCTCCGAGATCTGCCGGAAGACGGCGATCATCAACAGGGCAGGGCCAGAGACAGAAGAACGAAGTGCCTAGCTCCTTGAGACCGGATGCCAAAGTGCCTGAAGGATCCTGAGGTTCGTGGACTGTTAGGGGTTTAGGGTTTCGGGTTTAGGGTTTAGGGTTTGGGGTTTAGGGTTGGTAAGTAAGCTGCCAGTTGGGTTTTAGACGTACTCCAATGCAAGCCTAATCTCTACTGCCATGAACCTTCATGCAGTTAATGAATGGCATGCCGCCTTCATGCAACTGGCGCAAGATGCGTCAGCACAAGACGACCGAGGCAGTGGCAGTGTCCAAAGTAGTGGCAAGCCTAAGCCCACGACAAAAATCCAAAATAGTAACCCGGAGTGTGCAGCATGGTCTTTTGCATTACTGTATGCACAGAGCATGTCACCAACTACTACACAAAAGGCGCTTTTGTCGCATCCCGCTGTCGGAACGCACCGCGTGTAGTTCTGCGACCACGATCACGATAATTACCCCTACCACCACCGAGTCACCACCAAACGGTATTAATTTTCACATGGTGACAGCTGTATTTCCATAAACCTTAGGCGAAGTGAGATCGCGATAATTACTAAGGTTCTGTGTGCTTTGTCAGGGGTTAAGATTGTTTTCGAGGAGGAAAAAATGGATCAGGTCAGCACAAAACATACAATTTTGCAAGTTTCGGTGCCGAGCCCAAGACGCATCATCGAAAGGTCTGCCCGGTATGCTTGACTATAGTCACCGGCTCTGTGTCGAGAAAGGTCATATGTATTGTGGTATATGCAAGCTATAAACAAGGAACCCAAAGCCCTGTTGTAAACCCTGAATCCTACACCCCGGGCCCCATCCCGGGACACCGTAGGGCATCACGGCACTTGCTTGCTGGGCTCGAGAATGGCGAGGACCATGCCGTCCCTACATAATCATCTGCATAGCGAACCCTGAGGGGGGCGCGACATGAAGTCGCGCGAGCCCCTGCTGCAGCCTCAGTTTCGAAGAAGAAATATATACATATATATATATATGTATACACATACATCTCTCTCTCTCTATGTATGTACTTGCACACATAGTAGAATACAAGCATATATATATATATATACACGCATATATATATATATATATGTACACATGTGTGTATATATATATATACATACACACATACGACTTAGCAATCTGTGTGGCAGAGACAACATGGAGTTAAATTGACAAACATCAAATTAAATGAGTGTAATACGATATAACATAATATTAGATAACACAACATAGCCTAGTACAATCTAATATACTATAAGATAAGTACAATATGGTACAACAGAATATGGTATATTATGGTACAGTACAATATAATGTATTATAATGTAATATAAGGCAATATAATGCAATATAATGTAATATAATGTAATAT